AAGTCGGCTTTCCTCAAGCTTGGAAAGCGTTATCGATGGATTTTTCTTCAAGTATAGAAAACCGCCAAGTCGGCTTTCCTCAGGAATGGAAAACATCATGAGTGGATTTTTCTTCAAGTATAGAAAACCACGAAATTCCTTTGTCGACTTTCCTCAAGTATGGAAGGCATTAGCGGTGGATTTCTTCAAGCATAGAATGACACCAAATTTGTTCGTTGACTTTCCTCAGGCATGGAAAGTATTATCCGGTAGCTTTCTTCAGGCTTAGAAAGGTACCAAACTCTTCAGTCGGCTTTCCTCAAGCATGGGAAACATTTCAACAAATGTCACTCGGTGGATTCCTTCAAGCTTAGGAAGCTGCCAAACTCGTTTGTCACCGACACACTGGTGCCAGATACGTTTCTATCCCTTTACTCTCTTATCTGTGGAATTAACATTTTTCTGCAGGTATCGGCGTATGCAGAGTGATTTAGGATCGCAAAACGTCTTAAATCATTCTCCGTCCCTATCGACTACTTTGACTATCGTTTTCGAAACTAATGTTTCTACAAACTCAGTCAAAGTGGGGGCTTCTGTAGACACCTAAAAATGTCTCCCCAAAACAAAACCCGATGATAAATAACCTTTCACCGCCACTGTTGGTCGGGTTTAGTATTAAATCCCGAGAGTGCTTGAAAAATCGTATTAAATTCATACCTTTGAAAGGTCCATGGATTAGTCTTGATGTTTGGTAAAAGCATAGTTTTAATTTTAGCCCAAGCTTGTTAATTAATTTTAAGCCCAAACCTTTTTATTTTATTATTTTATTTATTTTTGGCCCAAATATTTTATTTATTTTTATTTCATTATTTTCTTATTTTAGCCCGAATAATAAAAGTCAGGAAAAAGCCCGAAATTATCAATCGGCACTTAAAAAGCCGTAAGAAATTAGGGTTAAAAATGAATTTAGATGGAAAAATGGACTGGAACTGACCGTGTCACGGTACAGCCTGACCGTGTCACGGGAACCCTTCCCGTCTGACGGTGGGACTTCCCGTGACACGGGAGGTTTGTCGTGACACGGGATGTTTCGTGTCCTTTCCGCGTAAACCCTTAACGCGTTTTTCATTCCGTTTTTTGAAAATTTCCCGCGTCGCTCCAAAGCTGTACCGTGTCACAGGAAAGTGTACCGTCTGACGGTACAGTCTGACCGTGTCACGGTACAATCTGACCGTGTCACGGGATACTTTTTTAGGGTTTTTATTATTTTAGGGTTCCGTGTGCTCCCTCAGCACATTTTCCCTATAAATACCCCCTCATTTCTGATGTACGGGGCAACCAGAATTTTATTATTCTTATTTTCTCTCTTCTATGCTATTAATTTAAACACTATCCTACACTTTTCACTTCAAAATTCCTTCTTCAAGCACTCAAAGGAGTCCATATTTTACTCGAGGTTCTGTCCTTAAGCCAAGGCGTGAAAGGTAGAATCGTTTGAGGGTTTGGCCCCAAAATCAACCTTATTTTATTTAATTTAATTTAGTTATTGTTTTATTATTTCCTTGAAGTTACTAACTCGTTTATTATTTTATAGTTGCAAGCAAACAGATTCAAAGTAAGGATCATGCTCTTTTATTATTATTATTATTTTTCTAACAATTTTTATGTTGTTGGGATTGTGATTAAATTGGTTTTAATATTAATGTTGATTCTATTATTATTGTTATTATTGATCATAATATTGCATGTTTAAAGGGAATATGTAATTGAAAATCACGCCTAATAAGATAATTTGGACAACCGGTTTAGGATCCTTTTAATCTTATTATTAATTGAAGTGATCACCAAATTTTAGAATTATGTGTGCGTTAATTTTAAACCAATTTAGTTAAATAATAGTTTGGAGCGAATTGAATTATTGTTTGTATGCCTTTGAGATCACAGGAATGCTTTTCACAATAAGAATCGAGTAGAGGCCAATACGGGCGAATGTGACTCCATGACTCACTTCGTACCATCATCCCCGATCCTCCTTTCGTGGTTCCAAACCATATGGAGTTAGTAATCTCATGGATTATGAATGGGGTGTAACCTTCGCGGGTCAATCGTTGTTGCCTATCGTTGTCCCTTATCGTTGTTGCCTTTTATGATCCGTGAACGGTTTACAAGTTCCTTAAAAAACTTGTTGGCGGCTCCCTACTTTATTTGTCCCTAATCGTAATGTCAATTCCCACTTCCTATGAGTGCCAAGCATATTCACCACATGCTTTTAACGTAGGCGCACTTCGAACGACGCCTACAGCTATTATATGTCAGCATATAAAGAAATTGGAAAATAATGGAAAATGTACAACTGCACAACACATGTCTCCCCATTGACATTGTTTTCCAGAAGATATTATGAAAAGGGTAATATATAATAAATACACCTGCAATGTAAAATTAACGAAAAAATGATTCTTCATTGAAGTTCTTTTCCAGAAGAGATGAAACTTGTTTAATACAAATCTTCTGAGAAATAAATTTTGATTGTGATCCTCCTAATGAAGTGAATTTTATTAATGCAAATTTGTCTACTAAGTCGATATATAATAAGATGCCCCTATAAATGAGATATTTTACCAACTTAGGGGGAGAAGGACGAATTAGCAAAAGTTGGAAAAATTAATTAAAATAAATAAATAATAAATATGATCCCTATAATGGTAGTTTGAAAAGTTATATGCCAACTTTTGTATATATATTATCAAGATATGTTGCACATTTATGATTTGATTTGTATTCAGTTATGACTCATGTTGCATAGCGTTGAAGATACATTTTGGTCATATTAATTATGTGTATACATTGAGATAGAATCTTGCCAATCATACTTGAATCACTACATCTGAAGTGTAGATTGTATAATCGGTTCCAATATAAAGATGTAATATATGGCAAGATAGTGCAGTTGACACTTTTAATAGTGTAATAGTATATTAATATCAGGTGTATGAAAAACCTTTGAAGTTGTGTAGATATCTAAATTATTACAATAGATGGCCTATGATGTAAGAAAAATTATGATGGTACCAATGAAAAATGTATTCAAATATCAATGTCAAAATAGTGTGCAAATTAAAATTGTACCTTGAGGAATTATATGATGATACCGGTATATGATGGAACCGATAAATAATGCATATGCATGATATAATGAACTAGTGAATAAGGGATCTGGAATGTATATCCATTTTAATGTCGACATAATGATAATAATAAAAGTTTATCATGGACCAGAAGTCCAAAGAAATATGGATTTTTAAAATCCACACTGTATAGTGTCTTGCATTATTTCGAGTCCTATGTATGTTCATATGCATGTGTGAGTCATAGGTTACTAGATTATTCATTGCATATGTTCGAAGTTGTTATATGCATTACTCATTGTATAATTTGTTTAATATGTTATCATGTTTTATATATCTCATATTGTATGGATTAATTTCTTACAATGGCTGTGGTGTATGTGAATGTTCATTCAAAGTATAGTAAGACATATTTACAACTTTTATGAAAAATTAGAAAGAGATATTTATATTCCAATGGGCTTATAATTGTAATGAAATGTAATGAAATTATCATGTAAAAAGAGTTCCTGAAGAACTTATATACGACGTATTTAAATATCTAGCCCTACAAAGTTTATCTCCTGAATAATGCAATTACTATCAAACTCTTGAAAAGTCTATGTCACTAAATCATTGACATCTTAACCTGAAGTTTGAGCATATAAGTGTTAGTAATGAGAATTACTATTTGTATATGAAAGAGAACTATCGTGTTAATTATAAATATTCTAAAGGATCAACAAGATACTTATGCGTGAGACTGTTTTATCATGGTCCAGAAGAATCACGATCAAGGTATATAATTATATGTGCTATATTATTATTTCATACAAGATTGAAAAATCAACATTAATAATATCATGGGTTGCCATATTATTATTGAGGAATGTTTAATCAAATTATAATGATCATCAATTTCCATTATTCACGACCTCCAAAAGATGGCATAAGTATAATAGTTAAGGCAACTTTGAACAGAGATTTTGAATGAAATGTGGACAAACACATGTATTATTGTTATAGGTTTGGTGATATGAAGACTCACTTGTTTGAGTAAAAATTTGAAGATTTGGAAGACTCGAAATTAAAATCAAGGAATGATACTATTCCACGTCATGTGTGAAGACACTCAACTATATTGGATTCATTGCATTAGAAGACCTCAAGCTATATCATCCGGGGGAGAAATTACGCGCTGCACTCTTTTTCCCTTAACCATGGTTTTTGTCCCATATTGGGTTTTCCTGGTAAGGTTTTTAACGAGGCAACATTTCGAGCGTATTACGAAGAATGTTGTACTCTTTTTCCTTCCACTAGTAGAAAAAATGCTATTTGTAACGCTCTATTTGTAACTGGCATAAGCTATGTTAGTTACTACAAGGGTATTCGTAACTGACATTACAAGTGCGGGTTATAAATAAATTAGTATTAGTAACTGGCATATCCAAGGTTAGTTACAAAAAGTAGTTCAAAGATAAAAAGATCAATCATTAGTAATGGACATAAAAAAGGCTAGTTACAAATAATAGGTCAAATTTTGTTGACTTTATTAATTGTAATGGAGTTTATTAAGGTCAGTTATAAATGCTATTCCACATAATTGCATAATTAAGTGCACAACACTCACTTTACTTGTATTCTTTTTACTACTTCCTCCTTTTTTTTTTTATCGCATCACTTACTACTTTAGGAAGTTTACTTATTATTGCATCATTTCCTTTTTAGGAGAAAAAATATCTATGTTCACACTGCAAATACCCAACATACCCTTACTTTTTCATACTTACTTTTTATTTTATCTTACATTACATGGACAATTTTATATTTTTACGTTTCTCTCTCTTACTTTTTTCCACTACCAAATTTTGTCTCCAAAACCCTATGATGCAATAAAAAAAACGGAGGAAGTATTTATTTTAAGAAAGTACTCCTACTCTTCCTAGGTTCCTCCTACTCAAACTTACCCTAAATTTTCACAGAACAACCTTAATTTTTTGCTTTCCTTGAACACATCTAAAATTCCTCAATTTTTCATAGTGCAACCTGTGCTCTCTGCTTCTGCAGTCATGCATTTGGAATCGTCGTAATTGCCGAATGATGCTGAGGAATTGCAATCCCCATTTTTCCGGAGGATATCGGAGGGTGGTTGTTGCAATTAAAGAACATCTATTTGAGGGCGTAGTGTTTTGTTTTCATTCCCCCTTTTTAAGGTTTGTCTTTTCCTCTTATTCTTCCTCCTTTTGGTTTGGTTTAGCTAGATTTGACTAACTGACTCTTGTGTTTTTGGATTCAACTGCATTTTCTGCTTCGTTATTGATTTAATTTCATTTTGTTTTTGTTGATTTTCGTTGTGTATTGTTTACCCAAATGAGGTTGTACTGCATGTGTTTTCAATTTGTTTTTGTTGTTATTGATTTTTGATTGATTTGGGTTTTTTTGGTTTTTCGTCATTGATTTTTATTGTTAATTTAGGTATTTTTTGGCTGTTAACTACGTATAATTATTGAAGAAATGGGTATAATTATTGAAGTTATGAATGATTATCATATTATAACAACCGATTTGTTGCTGAAAGTTGGTTTTCACCCTCAATTTTGTTTTTTTGTTGTATTTTTGCTGGGATGAGGTTTGATGTATACTATTTTGGTTAGATTTTGGGAAATTATTATATTGATTTTGTAAATTGATTGATTTTGTGATTACATTTGATGGTGAATATATGAATTATGATGTGTTTTGTATTGATTTTTATGGGTTTGTCCCGTCTTTTGATGGTGAATATATGAATTATGATGTTTTTTTGTTGATTTTTCTGGGTTTGTCCCTTTTGAGGTAGGGTTATGCTGTATAATTATTAAAATTTGCTAAGAATAATTATCAATATCTTGTAATAATACAGAAATGTATCCGCTTATAGTTCGATCCTCGGAAACTTATCAATACACCTCATTTCATATTTGAACATAAAAAAATTGATTAAGAAAATCATGAAAATCACTAATAAAACGGAGAAGTATACATGTAATTGTGTTTATGCATCAGTATTAACAATTGGGCATTTGAGATTGTATACTAATGAATTATTGTTGTTTTAGTGGCTTGTAAAAGTAGTTTTGTTAGATAAAAGCTTTACAATTATAGTAAGTCAAAGATAAAATTCTCAAGATAAAATATTGCACCATTTTATCTTGATAAGTACCTCACCAATCTCAGTTTAGTATCCTCTTTTCTATTGGCTGGATGAATGATATAGAAGCTAAGACTTTATTTCTCAAGTAGTTGTCTTTGCGGGAAGAGTAGATTTATTAGTGTCATTTTGAACTAGAATTTAGAAAACGTGCTTTTAAGAAGCCTTATATAACAAAGCTAAGATAATTTATTTTTTTCTGTAAAATTATCATATTCTGTCATTTGATTCTTCACAATTTTCCCTCGCCTTTAGTAGCACCCTTATTACGTGTTGGAGTTGTGGTTTGATCATTTATGATAAATTTATATTTTAAGTAAGGTGAAACTCGAGGTTGTCTTTTGCAGGCAATAATAGTAGAGGGTAACATAGTTGGAAAAATATGATGAAATAAAAAAAAAAACTTTATATAAATGGCCTTTTTATGTTAATTATCTAAATATTTTATCCTCATTTTAAAGAAGTTGGATGTACTTAAAGAGTTGGAAGAGGCCAGATAATATGCTCATGATAATGTCTGATTATATTCATCTTGATTAATGAGGATGTTAAGATACTTGTTGAAAATAAGTAGGCAAGAGATTGCTCCTATTGCAGGTAATTCACTCATTCGGTTTCTCCTACTGTAATGTTCTAATTTCTTTCTCAATTTGATAATATGATTCATTTTTCAATTAATGAGCTACATTATTATGTATTACTTGTATTAAATTTTTTTTGTTTGTCAATAATTTAAGAGTGGTTGCAGTTCTTCTATGTCATTTGTCTTTCAGATATTGATCTTCAAATGCTAGGTGTAGGCTTGTCAAGTTTTGTTTGAAAATTGAAACATAGAAGGCCATTAGCTTAGTGTTCTCTGTTTTTTTTTCTTCAGTTTGAGTTGTCAGTTTTTGTATTACAATGGCTCTATCAAATGTCACCTTTTGCAAGCAAGGATCTTAAAGATAATAGCTTCTTTGCAATTGTAAGGGTATGGCTTGTGTTGCAATTGTGCAGCTAACACTTTGACATTTAACACCCCTGCCATCATGCCTAAGGCGTGAGGCCTTGTGGGCCTTATGGACAAAAGTCACAAAACAAACAAGTTAGCTATTTTTTTTAAAGGTTGCGAATGCTGATGGAAAATCAAGTCAAGTAGAAAAGGCAGTTGCTCTAATAAAAGGGGCTGGAAAGAGTCTCCGGAGGAAGGAAAAACGAGCAATTATGGATCGAGCAAATCAGAGCTAGTCTTGGCCTTTTGATTCAGTGAGTGGTACTTACAGTATTTTGCACCCTTCCCTAACTTATAATTAATTCTTACAAGTATACCATGTTAATTTCAGTGAAAATGGCTTGCAAATCTCACCTACATGCTGGCAATAGGCCTATTGGAAATTTTGTCTGACATTGAGTTAGGTTTATAAGCTATACTGCTTTAGTTTCTATTGTTTGATTAACTCGATTTTTGGTATCTTTTTTCTTACACTCATTCAAATTTCTTTATCTCTTGTGAAGCCTGGTGAATCGTTAAGGGATTTATATAAGCACAAATATGTACTGGCAAATGGCTGCATATGAACACACTCAACACATTGGCAAAGCTATTAGTTTGAGAAATTTAATCTCAATTTGAGCTCTTATAGCTATCAGGAAAGAAAAGCCTTGTAGAATACTTTTATAAAGTAAATCCACTAAAAATCTATAAGTACCACCATGGCTCTTATATTACATATGTTTTCTTAAAGGACAACATGTTATATGCTTTCTCACCCCATCCCAATCTTCTTGATTAGTTTCATTATGTTGTTCCTTGCATGCATCATAATCGTTAACCTGATTCTATTCACATAACATTTAGACACTCTTAATGCTCAATGTCTTGTAATCTTCTCAAGATTCAATAAGTTAAGAAATCCATTATCACTACTTGATGAGTAAGTAAAAACTTTTATCGTTGGAACCTTTAAAGATATCCCACGAACTCATATTTTGGAAATTATTTAACATTGGTCTTTGTGATAACAATTTGGCATGTTGGTTTTGGATGCAGGGCTCAATATTATTCCAAGCTTATTATACAAGCACCTTCAAAAGGGTGAACAACTTATGAGAGGATGATTTCTTCAAGCAATTTTCAGATTGTTCTGTTTTAGATATCACAATGATCTATTTTGTTAAGTTCAAATCACCTCTTATCACTCTGTTCTTTTAGGATGACATACATGTCCTTTGTAGTTGAAAGTTGGTGACATATTTGTAATTAGAAGTACATCATTTTATGTATTTTATAATTGATGATATAGATCGATGTCGATTAAATTGGATCTTATTACGTGGTTTAAATTAATTATCATTATATTTATTACTGTATAAAAGTTGGGTTAATAATTTATGTTGTTTCACATTAAAAAAAAATGTAGCGTGGATAATGGAAGTAGGGGCATCTGCTACTAGAGGTGGCCAGTGGGCCGGGTTGGACCCAGCCCACCCTAACTCGCACGGCTGGTGGGTCACGTGGGTCCGACCCGGTTTCAATCCGGCACAGCTCGGATTTAATCCGGGTTGTGTCGTGGGTCCAAAATTTTCGACACAACCCATTTCAACCCAGCTCAGTTTAACCCGTTTGATTCGACCCAAATCGCACAACCCGTTTTGACTCATTTATCTGCTACTATTGCCATTTTAATTTTTTAAAATAAAATAAAATGTTATTCGTAACCGGCGTTAATATTTGCCAGTTACTAATAATACCCTAATTATAACCGGCATAACTTAATGCCAGTTACGAATAGTATGTTTTCTAACTTGGAAAATAGACTTTTTGTAACTGGCATTTGGTTAAGCCAGTTACGAATAGCACATTATTTGTAACTAACATTAGCCGGTTACGAATAATTTTAACTAGTTGTAACGGTGGCATTCGCAACCAACAATGCCAGTTACAAAAAGTCAATTTCGCCAGTTACAAATAGCATTTTTTTTCTACTAGTGTTCATTAGGTTTTTATCACACAGGGTTTTTCCTAATAAGGTTTTAACGAGGCACAATCTTCGATAATGGAAATCCAAGGAGGAGTTATGAAAATATTGTGTGGATATCCATTATTCTCTTTGTATGTTTCCAGAATATTCTAGATCTAGGGTTTATTCTTATCTAAGCAAACCCTACTTATAATATTCTATGTATATATATACCCCTATCATATGGAATAACATGAACATATTAATTCTCTCTCGATCTCCCATCTTTCACCCTTATTTCACAACAAATAATAATAATAATAATAGTAATAATAATAATAATAATAATAATAATAATAATTATTATTATTATTATTATTATTATTATTATTATTACTATTATTATTATTATTATTATTATTATTATTATTATTATTATTATTATGACAACAATAACAATGATATTAACACAGACAACTATATTTCCTTAAAAAAAAACTAATAATTAATCCGTATAAAAATTATAAATCTACTAATTTCAGCTTAATTGCTTGACTCAAATTATCGACCCGAAATAACCCGACCCAAAGTCAACCCGACCCGAACTTGACCCGACCCGATCTTGTCCCCACCCAAACTTGACCCGATATATGGACTCAAAAACTGACCCGACTCGAAATGGCCCGATCCGAACTTGACCCGACCCAAACTTGACCCGACCCTAACTCGATCCGACCCAAAGTTGACCCGAAGTATTGACCCGAAACCCGACCCGACAATTTATTGACCCAAAATGACCCGACCCGACCCAAATCCGACCCGAACATGTGCTGACCCGAATTTGACCCGACCCATACCTGACCCGAATGACTCATTTGCCAAGTCTAGGCTAGCCACATACAAGACTTACCATTCCCCATTAACTTTCTCTCTCCGATCCTCCTTCTTCATCTTCATCTCTCATTTGCCCTATTATATTTCTCTCTCCTCCTTTTGATTATTGAATTTCAGATTTGGGTTGTGGAGGTTGCGCAAGTGCTTCGTAGGTGGTGGTTTTGTGGGTTGGTGGTTCGCGTGGGTGGTGGATTGTGGGTTAGGTGGTGGATTGTGGATTTGAGTTCGCGTGGGTAAGCTAGGTGGTGAATTCGTGAGTTTGTGGTGATGGGTTCGCGGGGTAAGCTAGGTGGTGGGTCTATGGGTTTGTGGTGGGTTTGGGTTCATGTGTGTGAGCTAGGTGGAGGATTGGGTTCGTGGGTGGTAGTTTCTAGGTTCATGGTGGAGGTGTGCAGTGGGGGGTGGTGCTTGGTGGTTCTGTTTAATTATAGTGGTTCTTTTTGTTGGATTTAATATTAAGTACATGCATTTACTTTACATCAATCGGTTGTTTACAAAAAAAAAAAAGTCATGGTTAAGAAATTTTACCTTGGATTCCGCACACGCCCCATTTGTTGTAATTAACAGTCAACGGAGGAAGTATATCGTAAATGGCATCCAACCCCCAAAATTCGTGTTGTTCATTGCTCCACTTAATGTTTATGTTGTTGAGCACACCCATGCAGTGATGCAGTATTTCGTGTCATTCTAGTTAATTTAGCCGGTTAAATGATACAATTTTAACAAAAAATAATAAATGAAACGAATGGAGCTAAATAAATCAAGTTTGGTTTGGTAAGAAGAAAATACCTTACTAAACCAATACGTCACCGTTCAGTCAGCCCAGTTTAGCTACGCACGTCAATGCTTGAGAGTACATGTAAGGAATCTTGTAAGTCACAAAGTTAGTTATGCACCATCACCTGCTTAGTTTAGGTATTTCCTATTTAGAGTCTGTTCACATTTACTGAATTGAGTTGAATTGAATTAAACTGATAGGAGCTGAACTGAACTGAATAGAGTTGAAATGAATATTTTATGAGAGAAGGAAATTATGAGCTGAACTGAACTGAACTGAACTGAACTGAATGGAGTTAAATTGAATTGAAATTAAGCTGAAGTGAATAGACTTCATTTCAGCTCCAATCAGTTCAATTCAAATTCCGAGTTCCTTATGTCATAAAATATTCATTTCATCTCTATTCAATTCAGTTCAGCATAGCTTTGCTCTAATCAGCTCATTTTGATAAATGTGAACATACCCTTACTCTAAATGATTGGAAATTTGGAATACCTAGGCCAAGTGCGTCGTATCTGCTGATGTAGTGAAGTGACACGTTTTGTCCCAAAAAATCCAAAAGCTACCGAGGCCAAGTGCGTCGTATCTGCTGTCCGAAGTTGAATTTCATCCTCAATTCGGAAGATGGTCGGAAATTGATGTGACTTAATCGGGAAATCACGAGCTTCGCCTTTAATACACTAGTGTTTTTTCTACTATCTTTTTCAATAATTAATTTCATTTGGAAATTTAACTGGAAAGACAACCACCTAACTTTAAATGCTCAGTCTTCTTCTTCTTCACTACCATTAATGCAATTCCTTTTCTATCCATTTTTCCCAATCTTTTTCGAACTTATAAAGAACAACCCCAGTTTTTCTGGGTTAATTTCTGCACCTAATTTGGAAGATTATGTTGCACTCTTTTGGTACTGTTGTTGTTGTTGTTTTCTGGGTTTTGCTTCCCGAGTTTGGGTTAAGCAGTGATCATTGTCAACGAACAGCCGCCAAAGAAGGTAGTTAACGTTTACCCTTTTACAATTCATGAGTTTGGTGGGTTTTTTTCGTTTTTTTATTGGGGTGGTTGAGCATGATTTTTGCTTACTTTATGCCTACAAAGTGTTTGATGATTTGTGTCTGTGAAAAATGTTTACAATGGTTGTTTATTGATTTGGGTTTTATTTATTTTTTTTATTGTTGATTTGTTGGTATTAATATGTACTTGTAGTATAAAATTGGTCAAAGCTTATTAGAAGCATTAAAGGCTTGAATTTTTTTTTTGAAACAATTAAAGGCTTGATTTTGATGGAGTAATAGTAGTTAAAATACTTAATTATCACTTATCATCATCACTAGATAATACTAGTCTTATAACACAGTTTATCCTTAACAAGTGGCGGGAAAATGTTAGAATGAATGCTAGGATGGAAAATTTAGCTAAAAGTTAAGTTACAGTATGAGCACTTGAAGAAAAGCAACAGTTCTTTAAGAAAGACTATAACTTTGCCTTTGTGATTGAGATGTGTTTGATATCTTGGTTTTGGATGTACGACATGCCACATTGAGGAATGACACTTTGTTTGGATTGAAGGGAATGGAGGGAAGGGAAAGGAAGGGAAGGGAAGGGAAATGGAAGGATGGACTATCTTTTATTTGGATAACAAATAAGGAAAGAAGGGAAGGGGATTAAATTGTAACAACTTGGTCTCTCCAACAATGGACAGTTATTTATAGACTGATTTGTGGGTAATATGCTAAGTCATAATAGTTCAATCAAATTTCATGTCGTGGCAAGTGGTAATTGGGTTGTCTTGGAGATTATACTTCTTAATGACCCACACATTATATGTAGATGATGTGTTGTATCGACAATTAAGAATATTTTGGTAATGTGATCACTAATTATTTCATCTCGAGCCTAATTCTCGGTTTGATGATTTGTAGAAATGTTAGTTTAATGGAATGTAGTGAAGTACTCCCCTTTGCATGTGACTATGTGAGTAACACAATGAAGTAATCATTCTGCAGTTGTTGCGCTTCGTGAGATAGCCAAGGAATTGGGGAAAAAGGACTGGAATTTCAATGAAGATCCTTGCAGTAATCACACAAGTTGGTTTTCTAAAGCGGACCCAGCTAGACAAACTTATGTTAATCAAGTGACCTGCGATTGTTTTGGTGGCAGATGGCACTTGAAAAATTTGTGAGTTATTCTCAGTCAGAATCAGATAATTATTTTAACTAGTCATCCATGTCTCTGTTTATACTTTATATAGCTGAAAGGTAGTGAACAACTCCAGTATGATGTCTGCCTATTTATTTGTTTAAAATCCTATATCTTAAATAAGAATATTATGATCTTAAAATTACTCTTTAATTGTTTTGGCCATGTATTAAAAAGATTTCTTGGAGCAATCAATGGGTTGCTGATGCAGCTATAACAAAAGTTAAAAAATAAAAACTACTCATCAAGAGGCAACAGACAGAAGAATATGTTGCAAGCCTGTCTATGTGAACATTTAAAGCTGTTGGAAGTCAAAAGTGATTCAACACTAACCTACTAAATGCTTCCTACTTTTTTTAAATACTTGCTACACTTCCAATTTCATGCTTGCCAACACACAAATTTCAACTGTTGATATACATTGAGGCAAATCTAACAAGATCCACATGACTATGTTTAACCTTGAGTATAGATAACCATAGTCAAAGTTTAGTATGC